AGAGAGAGAGAGAGAGAGAGAGAGAGAGAGAGAGAGAGAGAGGGGGGGGGGGGGGGGGGGGGGGCGAGTGTGGGGTGCTCAACCACTTTGGAGGCGCGTGAAGAAGACGGGCGGAATGCTATGCGAAGATATACACGGAAGCGGTTTTTCTCCATTTGATACGACCACACAGAAAAAAGCTATAATCGTTATAGCTAAACAATAGCCAAAAATAGGAAAGAATTTATTGTTTAGTAATGTAGCTAAAAATTTAGCAATGTCGCAAACAATGTAGGTAGGTGTGTAGCTTGAAACTTAGCTATGTTGCTAAGCATGGCATCATTTTTAGCACCATAGCTAAATAATTAGTTATGTATCCTTCATTTAGCTATTGGTTTAGCTACAGCTAATTATTTTTTATCCGCGAATGAGGATAGGATATGTACAGCTACTCAACATTGTTGGATTTTGTTTTGATCGAGTATACTAGAAGGGTGGACGAACGGACTTTGCGGTGCCAGTGGTGCCAGTGTAGGTGTAGGTGCGGCGTGGCCTGGCGCTCGGAGGCCCGGCTACGACCCGCAGCAGCGGCGGCCTGCCACGCGACACCACAGACCACAGTCTTTACCCTCCCCAGGAGACTGGCCACCGTAGAGGGTTGTGCGCTTGTTTTCCCAGTTTTCCTCTCGTAAATAATTAGCCGTCCTGGGTGCACGACGTGTTGCCTCGCCGGACCGCCTGGCCTCTCCTTCCGTGCCGCAGCTGATCTCAAGTTGCCCCGCGCAGCCAAAAGGGGTGGTCCCCGGGAGAGTCCCGGCCGGAGCCGGGGCCGGGGGGCCCGGGGATGGAGTGGGTACTCTGCGCTCTGCAGACCCCTGGACCCTGACCTGAGTGCAAGTTAGTGCAGAGCGGATCCTGTTTCTCTCAAATAGAGTTAAACGAACGCATTGCCTCAGCCGCCATTAAAGATTCGAGGTCGAGCGGCGGGGCGGTCCGGGGCCGGGGGAGGAAGAGGAGTGGAAGACGCCGGAGTGGTGGGGGCAGTGGCGCCCAAACTATGGTCCAAGCGATGCACGCGCACAGGTACAAATCTATACAAGGTAGGTACATGAGAGGGAGAGAAAGGGGAGAAAGAGGGAGAGAAAGGGGAGAAGGAAAAAGAGGAGAGAAGGGGAAAGAGGAGAAAGGAGAGAAAAGAGGAGAGGAAAAAAGGAAAAGAGGCAGAAACAGGAGAGACTTTGAGTATAAGTATGGGGTATGGGGGTGCAAGGAGGGGCAGTCGCCATTTGCCACTGGCGGACGTCATCGTTGTCGTTTGCCGCTGGCCGCCTGCGCACCCTCCGGCAGCGCCAGTGTGTCATCCGCCGATAGGTGCCCTTAGTGTTACATCGGGCGTTCACAAGAAGACGCCCAGCACTCTAAAAAGGGAGAAGCATTTTTGTCATCTACGTTAATGTTTCCTTGTGAACATCTCCATTAGATAGAAATTTGTCTATACCTATACTACATTATTGCTTTGTAGAAATTTAACAGTGTGGGTACGAATCCGCTATTGTGCCTGAAACATCTACAGTTGTCATTTCCCGTTTAGAGTGTGGCTGACATTATAGGAGTGAAAAGGAAACGGCACCAAAAAGGGTAGAAAAAAGGTAGCGAATCCCTCTCACAACCGCTCTTTTTGTCATGAAATGTCGAAAAAATTTCTTGCTCGCTTCGCTCGCGTTTAAACCAAAGTTTAAGACCGAACGACGTCAACAAGTGTGGCAAACACAGTGCTCATAGGGAGGTGCCCGAGCCACCAAGGCTGAAAATGAATGACAGAAGTGAACTGGCTGGAACAGGGCAAAAGAGTCTCCTAATATTGCATAAATCCTCTAAAACCGCTCTTTTGGTTATAAAATACAACACAAAAATCTCGCTCGCTCCGCTCGCGGTTTTCTATAATCAGGGCCCCCTATCATGATCCCTTAAGAAAAAAGCATTTAACCCTTATATATCCTGTCGCATACGTCAGCGCCAGCATTCACACAGTCTCCCTTATTTATGTTTGAAAAGGAAAAAGGTTACAATGACGGACAGATTCCTGGATTTAATTTTTAAAGGCGTAAAAAAATTATTATCGTCAAATTGAAACGTAACAAAGCGGGGGGGGGGCAATGTCGCAAATTAGGGCTCTGCTATGTAGGTACATTTTGCGCCCAAAAGGTAGGTACACAGAGAGGTTTGCACGGGTACACAGGAAAATTGTGGGCGCCACTGGGTGGGGGCGGACTGCCCTCGAAGCAGGCCAGACTTCTTGTCACTCGCCTCGCGTTGCCCGAGGAAACGGACGGCGGCGGGGGTGTGGGCGAGGGGTCGTCAACTTCGATATTCCTCCGTACACGGACTGATATTACCTCAAATATTACACCAATATTAGCTATATTACTGGTAATATTACCTCGATATTACACATTTTTCTAGTATTATGACGTCACAGCTTGAAAATTGGCTCAATATTACCAATATTATTTGTAATATTCAATATTCCTCCGTACACGGCCAAGGAGAGTTGACGACCCCTCGGGTGTGGGGGGAGACGAAACACACGTTTTACGAACGTCGTTGTTCGTGGCGACCCCCTTCTCCTTCTCAGCGCGGGTCGCGGTCACCCTGCGGTCGGGGTCGCGTAGGGGTGGGGGGACGGCGCCGGGGTGCGGGGTGGCCGCAGGCCTCAGCCGGGCCGGGCGGCGCAGCCTCCCATTCTAAAAGGGCTACGAGGCGGGGATGAGGCTGAGGGCTGCCAAGGGATTTCCAGAGGGCTGGCCGGGGCCAAAAGGGTACCGGTACTTCGCTAAATGGGTCGTCGCGATAAGTTACAGGCGGCTTTATCCGGGCGCCCGCCTCCGGGCCCCGCCGGATAGGCAGCCAATGTCGGGAGCGGCGCGTGGCCGAGGCCTTACTCACCTGCGCGTAGCGGTCCACCACGCCCTCGCCCAGGTTGAGGTCGGTGCCGGCGGTGCAGTTCTCGCCCAGGAGGTGCTGTGACTCGACGATGCGCAGGAAACGGTTGACGAGGTCGACGTGGCTCTTGTTGGGGCCGTACATGTCGTCCGCGTCGAGGGGTGGCTGCTCGTCGTCGCCCTCGGCCACCCCAGTGCCCGGCTCCCCGGCGTAGGCCGACGCACCGCCCTCGACGCCGTCCTCGAGAACGGCCGTCTCCCGGGTGGGCCCGCCGACCTGCTTCTCGGGCATGTTCTCCATCAGGCTGTTGATGTCCTCGAGGATGGTCATGGACGGCGCGCTGGAGGCCGGCGGCGCGGCGCTGGACCTGGGCTGTGCGCGGAGCTGCTGCGCGCGCGACGCGGCAGTTGTGGCCGTCGGCCTGGTGCCGGCGGCCTGCAGGAGGCCCTGCATGCCCTGGCGGTCCTGTTGTTGGAGCAGCTGCAGCTCCAGGGCCAGCTCCTGCAGCTTGGGCCGCCGCTTGGTCGGGCTCGGCGGGCCCATGCGCCGGATGGTCCCGGAGATATCGCCGGGCCCGATGAGAGCCTCGGGGCGCGCCGTGGACAGTTGGCTGGAGCTGACGTACTGGTGCTGCTCGGCCTCCGCCGCCGGCACCCCGGGCGCGCTTGAGGACGGGCCGAATGCCAGCACGAGGCCCAGGAAGGCCCAGAGCGCCAGGGGCCGCGCCGGCCCGCCCCCGAGGGGCAAGCCGCCGCCCCCGGGCCCGCCCCCGCGCCTCATGGCCGCGGCCTGCTCCCCATGGCCCGGTGGGGCGGGTCCTGGGCCGCCCCCACACCTGCAAGCACGCGAAGTAAACAAGAGTCATTCAACCGGCTTTGTTAGACCTCTGGCAACAGACAGAATAGAGGGGTGAGGGGACGCCAAAGCAGTCTTCTTCCCCTTTATCAAAGCCACCCTTATTATGCTCAAATCGTCCCAAACGGCGATGGCGGTGCAGCGCGCGGGCGGGTCGCGGCGGGGGTGGGGTTGCGCGGGCGACTCTGCTGGCACGTCCACCCCCGCCCCGGCCGCGGGCTGCGCGACGCGCTGCCACAGCCAGGCCAACCTCGCTCCCCAGCCGAGCCCCAGCGCAGCCGAGCCACGCGGCGGGGGGACAAACCCGCAAAAATATCTTTCCACTTTGCACACCCCGCCGGCTCCTATTTGAAGACGAAATATTTATGGAGGGCAGATCACGTATTTTCCGGCTGATCATCCCCCGGCTCCGGTGCGGCGGCGGGCCCGGAGAGGGGTTGGCTGGCTGCCGCCCCCCGCGGCCCACCCCCTGCCCCCGTCTCCTTTCCTTTATTCGCGAGTTCGTCCCCACATCCCCACCGGCTGCGCGCACATTTTATTCCCTTCAATCCGGCCGAGCTTCTGCCCGCCGCTGGCTGTGCCTCGGTCTGGATCAACACACCGCTAAACTACGCCACGTTTCACATATTATTGGGCTCCGCGCACTGGAAACGCAAGTGTGTGAATGTCGCACACACTTGTAGGTGTGTAAAAATCCATTCGTACACTTAAGGTTGTTAACGTGAGAATTTTCTAGGAAATTAACACACTTGCGTTTCCAGCGAGCGACCGCCATACGCCACACGACGACCGCTCGCGTGCGGTTTAACGCAGGGGCAGCCGCGACTCGCTGACGTGGGTTTATTGATAAAACGAAAAAGAGAAATTATCCTCGCTCTTCAACTCTACTACAGTTCGAAATCTCCACTTTCTCACTCATACGGTGCATAGAGGGAGCTTAATTTTCATTGGTTTTCACACAGAAATATATGGGGCATTATAGGGAGTACATGACGAGTATGACCGAACCCACCCGTGAAAAAGCCGCCTGTGTCACTCGACGTGTATTAAAAGCACGCCGGGCGGACGTCGAGGCCAAATTGAACTGCAGAATAAATGGATCTGTATTAATCTCCTCCGTGCGGTGCACCACACCCTGTGTCTCTCCCCCGGGCCGGGGGGATATGCCCCTCTCTCCTTTCTCCCACTCCTTCTCTCTCTCTCTATCTCTCTCTCCCTCTCTCGTGCCCTCTGGTTCTCTCGATCTTTGGCTCGTGTGTATGTTGGTGTTCCGTCACTGTCATCGCCAGGTAATGGGGTAGGGTTGGCAGAGGGATGTATAGATAGCGATTTCCTCCCCCTCCCCCCCCTTCTTGCTTACGTCTTCCCTCGGGCCTGCCACCCGCCCGCGTATATATGCGCGCCTTCCGTGCCTTAATATAGCAATTTCTTTTTTCGCACGCGGGAGTCGTGGCGTGCTCCAGCAGTGGTTGGGCGTTATGCCGCCCCACCCGCCCCACCCCCACCTCGTCACGCCCGCAGACACGAGTCCTTCAGCCAGCTCGTTCCTCCCTCTCGAGGACCCCCGCCCCCCTCTCCCTCTCTCCTCTTCTCGCCACATCGATGACCTTCGATGAGGCGTCGTCGGTCGTGGTGTGGCGCAGCGTGGCGGCGCGAGTGTGAAGCACGAGAAGTGCTAATCTTCAATAAACTTTCACTAGCGAGACGAAAAGGACCCCACCCCGCCCCACCCCAAGTACAGCCCGAGGGGGAAGCCGACGGGGGACAAGGAGCTGACATGCGGCCGCCCTGATCGCTGACAAAGCACACTACTTTAGGAAACGATTTTCGCTGGCTGCCATCGTTGGGGAGGCGGGCGAGATGTTTAATTTTGCCTGCTGCGACGCTTTGTATTTTTCCCGCAACATTATTCGACAACAGAAGGTCAAATATAGCGTACGTAAAAGTCAGTCTATAAACGACTGCCCCCCCAAAAATGACGACGACGACGTGGACGTCGCGCCGCAAAATAGCGCCGTATTATTGGAACGCCGCGCCACGTGGATTCCGGCCGCGGCGGTGCGCGCGTCTCGTCTGCTCCCCTATTCCATGTCTGTGCGCGCGCGGGGGTTGGGGTTTGGGGCGGAAAAAATAGACGAAGGAGAAGAAAAAACATGCCTTTAATGAGACAGCGCCCCGCCCCCGCCCTGCCCCACCCCGCCCCGCCCCGCCCCGCCTCGTCGGTATGATGTCCGTGCGGTCGTGCATCCACATAACTTGAGGCACACGGTCATTCCTACAGCGGCGCTCATAATTGGGCGCTGGGATGGGCTTGTTACTTCTTACGAGATGGGGGCCGGGCCTGGCGTGGCCTGGCAGGGCAGGCGGGGCCCCGCTGGAGGCAGTGCGATGGCGGAGAACGTGAAAACGCGGCCAGGAGGGGGGGGGGGGGCGTTCTGATGGGGTCGTAACCCCGGAGGCGCGCCTTCTGTTGCGTTATGAAGTGACAATTCCATCCCGGGGGCCCAAAGCACACTACGTGTCGCCGCGCGAGGTGAGGGACGCCCAGCCCAGCCCAGGGGGGCGGTGGCGGCGCAGCGCGGAGCAACGACGCCAACGCCAAGGCCTGCGGCGCTGCTGCCGCTCGCTGGAGGGCTGCCAGGGCGCCGGCATGGCATCCCCTCACCGCCACCGCCCCCCACGGCCCCCGCGGCTCCCACGGCTCCCTCCACCACACCTGCCACGCGGAATATCTGAAATGGCCCCGGCGGCGGCAGCGGCCGGCTGGTCCCCGGTCGGCAACCCGTTAGCCTGACAATATGAGATGTGTCATCGCTCAGCGTGTCTCGGGTATCAACACCCGTGTGTGTGCATCCGCGAACTAAAAGAGGGGAGGGGGGGGGGGGCGATCGCCCACCCCCTTGTGGCCCACTATATAGCCAGCAGTCACTTGACCTACAAAACCCCTGTATGTAGGCGACTTGCGTTTGGTGGTGTAGGGACCTGTCACTTGTAAGGTCGTCGTCTTTTATGTGGGGATCGTCCACACAACGACAGCGACAGCGTCATTCGACACATTGCTACTGGCGCGCCTGCGTGACTCGGGGTAGGCCATCCCGCAGTACACGCATGCAGTGCAGACGAGATGTTGCCTACCCATCAGGCGCTATGAGAGTTGGCACGGGATGAACGCGACGGACGCGCACTTTCAGGATGGTTCCTTCGGCTGCCGAAGCAGAACTGCGGGATGTCCTACGAGACGCCCGCGTAGAACCATCTTCTCCGTCGGCGGTGGCGGCAGGTGGCCAAGGCCAGTCGATCGAGAGAGAGGGTCCTCCTGGACGGCGGTCCTGTCGTGCGACTCTCCTCCCCCGGAGGCGTGCCATCCGTCAGCCCCGGGGGGCGGACAGATAAATCTTAAATAATAACCGTCGGGATGACGCGGCGCCTCGCTATCTGATGGCGCCACTCACATTAACGAGGACGGCCCAGCCCCCCCCCCCCTCTTACTCACCCCCTTGTCCGCCCTCCCCTTCTGCTCAGACACGCCTCGAGCGGAGAGTGGAGCAGAGAGTGTCGCCGCCCGATGTGTGCTCGACACTAGAGTGGCAGGGAAGGGGGGGGGGGTGCAAGGGCGAGCGAGTGGCCCGAGGAACACCAGCAAAACGATGGACTTTCACCGCACCGACGCACGACGGGGATGGTCGGGGACCATGTCGACGAACGACGACCGTCCACGATAAAACATTATTTTTTGTCTGATCTATACTCTACTTAGGGCAAAAAAAATTAAATGTTAAAAAATCAGCCTTTTTGTTTTGTTCTACTCGGTGATGACAACAAGCAGACTGATTACGACGATGACGACCTGCGTGAGGGCGAGAGACGAGGCGCCAGACAAAGGGACGATAAAATCCAAACAAAAGGGGGACACTATCGGATCAGTCTCGCCCTTGCCCCCATGACGGTCCCCTCCCCGCTTTACACACTGAGGGCCGCCCGCAATTCTTTTTACTCAGTCACCTTCACCGCCTCATCAACTTCAAACGGGAGCAGAGGGTTCCCCTTTCTCTCATTCGCCAACCTCTCTCTGCGTTCTTGCGGTCTCCCTCTTCGTCTCTCTATCTCTCTCATGTGCTCTCTATCCCTCTGTTTTCTGTCTTCCTCTCTCTCTCTCTCTCTCTCTCTCTCTCTCTCTCTCTCTCTCGCTCTCAACACGCCCGGCAGCGCGGACTCTGTGTTCATTTCCCCCATTTTGCCTCTCCCCGGGCTAAGGCAGGCAGCTCCGCCTCGCCTTGGTCCAGGGGAAATCACCTCCGATAGTGTTCCCCGGAGGACAGCTTGCCCCGCCACGCCATCGGTTGCCACGCCCCCCCCCGCCCCGCCCGGACGCACAAGATGCAGCCCGCCCTTGGGCGTCCGCCTGCACAACCCTACTCTACCCCACCCCACCCCGCCACGCTCCACCTGACCTGCCCGCCCAACTCTAATGAAAGACAAGGACAAGTCGAGGAGACGGGGGTTTTGTCCGCAGGCTCCTGGCTGGCGGCTGTTTTGCCCGCTCTTGCGGAGATAAGGTTTTGTTCCAGGTGGCTCCGGGCGGCTCCGCCGCCAGCTCCAGCAAGCAGACTGCCAGCAGGTGAGGAGGCTCTTCGGAGCGACCGCTGGCTAGAGCGACCGGGCGACAAACTCGACGGCAGATTAATCCCCCACGACGCGTCTTCTCTGGCCCCTTCGCGACTGCTGGGCCGTGTCGTCCCCGTCCCCTCCGCGTGCGCATGGACTGGACAGTCTTAGCAAGACGACGTGTCGGACAGAGTAAGACAGAGAGTAAGCGAGAGCGGATCCCCTGGAAGGTGACCGCTGTAGACGCGTGGCAAAACCCTCTCTCTCTCTCTCTGCTGCTGGCTGTCGTCGCCCCGGTCAAGGAGACCGGGATAAAGGCTGGCCGCTGGCGAGGGGTTGGGGTGGCAGCGGCGGCGGTGCGTGGGGTTTGCGGGG